ACTCCACATTATATAGGAAGGCTAGTATTCATACGAAACAAACACGTTCGTTAGCCTTAAAAGGCTAAGGTCATCCCCATTCGAAAAGGCCTTACATGAACAAACCCATCCATTTATTTTTATGAATTGATACATGACATGCGTATTCTACAGACAGGACTGCATCGATAAAGACGATTCCAACGTCCACCAATATAGCTTCGCCTTGGTTTAACAATCAAGAAGAGCTGAGTAGAGTAGTTAATCAGATTAGCTAGGCAATCAAGAAGGCATTACATCAAACAAACCATGCACTTATTTTTATGATTGGATACATCACCTGTGTATTCTACAGACACGACTGCATCGATGTCGAGGTAACCACCGTCCGCATCGAAATATCCGCCTGGTGCAACCCCAAGACAGTACTTGGTAGAGTAGTTAGCTAGTAGGATATAGGCCAGACTCCCACAGGTGTAGGTGTCACCACAGTGAACAATGCTGTTAGCTGCCTCCGTGGCATCCACAGTCGATGTAATAGTCCCTCCATTCCCGTCATCTGATTTTACCGTCACGTTAGCATGTGTAACCTGGATGGTGTCCAGTGAGCCTTTTGGACACGCAGGGAATATTGGATCGCATAGATACTGTGCAGTTTCTTTGTAGTGAATCAAACAAACAAATATATTAGGCTCCTATACGATCACTTTGTATAATATGCTTTTACGAAAAAGAAAAAAAAAGAAATTGAAAAGAAAAGCCGTATAATAGTAAATATGCGTTATTTACAATACTACAATAACATAATTAAAGAGTGAGTGCATCAAATGCCTTTCTGACGAATCCTTATTATGGGTTGCAAAATAGTTTAATCTTATATTGACATCGTAGGAAAATTATGCCATAAAAGTTTAAGTATTGCGTTGCAATAAACAACTTGACGGTACCTTCACTTCAATATAGGAGTTCATTTCCTAAATACTCATCGGCAGGGCATTTCAGTTTTCACGGGGAATGGAGTCATGACAATATCGAAGATTTTTTACATGGATATCCCCTGTCACTCCACAGTCTTCTGGAAACGGTTGATGATACCAATTTATTGCCCCACCCCTCAAAATATTTGACTCATTTACGCTCTGAATATTACCAAGAGGTCCGACCATGACTGTCCAAGAGACCGTAAACTTCGAACTTTTGACCTTTTGGTCTCTTATCTCGCAAAAACTTTTTCTCAAAATTCATTTATATTGAAATATATAAGCCATCTTACCTAGGCGTATTTGGAAACACTGTGAATCTCCTCTTGTGACAGGTAAGAGCTGAATCCGTATTTACACCAATTTATGAAATATAAAAGGAAACAAATCATGGTTACAAGAAAACAAGGAAACGAAAAAAAATAAATTGGAAAATAAATGTTACTTGAATCATACATGTATCAACACTCCGGTATTTATCATTTATCTGTTACTGTCTTGCCTAAATTCACTCATCCTATGGATAATAAATCATTAAGAGCGATGATAATATTGCTGCTATTGATGGTCAAGCGTGTGTTTATACGTCGTTATGTGAATCTGGAAGTGGCATTGCTTCAATAGCCTACGTATCATCGAAGCGCCAAGTTTGTATGATATTGGTTTCGTTTATTGGGGAGGGGGTGCCAATATTCAATTTGAATTTTCTGATTGTGGTCACATATATTTTTGGTGAAAATATATGACACGTTTCACTTTCTTTCTGTCATAAGCCTTTATTTGACAAGCAATGTCGATTTTAATCAATGTCTATTTTAACAAAGGGCACGAGCACATCGACTCGGTTTCGGGCCTGGGACCTCCCAATAGGGAGACCATTGATCTACCACTGAGCTTTTGCATCTCCTCAACTCTTAGCATGTTTCAAAGTATCTTGACACAATTGCCAAGCGTATCAGGACAATTACCCCCTGGGCAATCACCCCCCGGAAAATTACCCCCCGGAAAACTACCCCCCAAGGACAATTACCCCCTGGAAAATTACCCCCCGGAGATTTACCCCCCGAGGACAATTACCCCCCATGGACAATTACCCCCCGGAAAATTACCCCCCGGAGAATTACCCCCCGAGGACAATTACCCCCCAAGGACAATTACCCCCCGGAAATTTACCCCCCGGAAAACTACCCCCCGAGGACAACTACCCCCGAGGACAATTACCCCCCGAGGACAACTACCCCCCGGAAAACTACCCCCCGAGGACAACTACCCCCCAGGACAATTACCCCCCAGGACAATTACCCCCCGAGGACAACTACCCCCCGAGGACAACTACCCCCGAGGACAACTACCCCCCAGGACAATTACCCCCCATGGACAACTACCCCCGAGGACAATTACCCCCCGAGGACAACTACCCCCCGGAAAACTACCCCCCGAGGACAACTACCCCCCCCCCCCCGAGGACAATTACCCCCCCCCCTCGAAACACCATTACCTCCGAGGACAATCACACCCAGGGAATTTGCAACACTGTGACGTATAATGCGAGCTCCGCTTCAAATTGCTATTTAGAGAAAATGTCATGAACTTTCATTTTCTTAGTTATTTATGACGGCATAGATTTGTTTCGTACAGGGGTTGTGTATAAACATATTTGCAATAATTATATTTAATTATATTTTGGGTGAATGTATGTGGAAAATTTGTTAAGGAAGAATACAGATTTTTTTAAAGTTTTCTAGCACAGGGCAAATAGGCGGGGAGCTCACAAGACACGTCACGGAGTTGCATATTTGTGTTTGCACCTTCAACAAATCATAATTTTCTAATTTTTAATTGGTGAAACTTTTTCAAACTCTAGGCCATATGAAAGATAGAAACATCCACTACCTCCATCTCAGAAAAGGTTAAAGCAGGCATTTTTACTTTATTTTCCCCCTGAAACGTGGTCATGGTAATTCTATGAACCATATGAAATTGACAAGCTTTTGTTCTTAACGAGTTTAACAGAGATTAAAAATCGAAGGGACGCTTAAGCATTAGTGACGATGTTCGCTTCTCGCCAGCTTTGTTTGACGTTATTCAGTGTGGCCTCCAAGTCTCCTAAAACTTTGACTTTTCATGAATTCTGGAAGCAAAGGAATATGTCTACGTAGACTGTGCTTAAAATTTATTTTTTGTTTAGCTGTTTATGGTTCTCTAGTGTACGAGTTAATGTGGTGAAAATCCTATTCTTGTTTTGTCATCATTCTTTATATAAAAGAAAAGGTATTGAACTTAAAATGTTGCGGAGGTAAATTGACATACAAGATGCAATATTTTAACTATTTACATTCTCTATCACAAGTGAATAACTTTAATAGCATTTCAAACAGTGTTTCAATTTTCAGTTTTATTTTCACTTCCAACAGAACTATCAATATAAACAATTATGACAAGAAATCAATTACATAAATCATTTTGAAAATCATTAATTAAATTACAAAAGAATGTATACATGTGCTGTAAGTGATGTTTCGTTTGTTTAAAAGTAAAAAACTGTGAAAATGGAGGGATCTACTGAGAAGCGGGATTTGTAGAATGTGGATCCCTCAAAAGACGGTAGTAATAAACATATGGAATAAATACATATACATTTGGAGACAAAACAGATTAATCTGAAATTGTGAAATGAGAACTTATGAATTATAAATTCATAATTTAAAAATGTATAACAACATGCTTTTCCTACGTCTGGGTGAACATGATCCAACAGAGACATAGGACGAAGACTGACATTATATGAAAGGTCACAAACGCAATCTGTGGGGGGGGGGGGGAGTAAAACACGAGTTGACTACGCGAAGATTTAATATGTTTTATAAGATTGTAAAATAAACGAGTTCGCTTTTCGCTTAAAAGAATGGAGTGATGGGGCAAGTTTAGTACAAATACGTGAAAAGTTCCAAAATTTGAGACCGGCATAGATAAATGTATTTAGAAGAGGTAAATGAAAGTCACCACAATGTAATTTTTTTGTAGGGGGGTGGGGGGAGGAACACATCATGAATAAAATTGAGAGCATGTCATTACTGTTAGTTTACAAAAACTGGCCTAACTGGAAGAGATAGAGGTCATTAATTATTAACATGCTATTTTCAAAGAATATAGGATTTGTAAGGGAACGCGACTGAGAGTTGCGATTAATACGAAGAGCTTTTTCTGCAACGATAAAACTTCTGTCCAGCAAATTTTGGCGCGTATTGCCCAAAACCATATTTGAAGAGGATAAACATGATAAATATTAATGATACATTAACACAAATAAAACACCTTCCTGCTGTCTTGAAGGAAGCCAAAGGAGGAGACTTATCAAAGTCATGTACTAAAAACAGAGTTCTGACATCCCAAAGTAAAACTCAGAGGCAAAGATCATCACAATCATGCTTATCATATAAACATGAAACAGTAAAAAAAGAGAATTAAAAAAAAACTAGAAACTTTTATCCTGAAAACAATCAAATGCATAAAAAAAGAAGATATCAAATGATATCATTCTGTATTCAACAATGTATATACGTAACACATCTCTTAATGTAAAACAAAAAATCCCATATAATGTAATGCCAAGTAAATGGGAGGTCCTGCATGTTAAAACAATTCACCTGGACTGATCAAAAACTGTACAATAGCATAGGTGACTGATCGTTAGTGAAGATTATGGGACACGCCCCTTAAAAAATCTACAATGTCTCTCCCATGGTAATTAGTAACGAGCCTGATGAGCCGGAGATTGGTATCTTGGTACACTCTCCTACGTGCGGGAGGCGCCATTCCAGCTTGCGCTTGCCCGATGCTAATCATGCTTATCATATAAACATGAAACAGTAAAAAAGAGAATTAAAAAAAATAGAAACTTTTATCCTGAAAACGATCAAATGCATACAAAAAGAAGATATCAAATGATATCATTCTGTATTCAACAATGTATATACGCATCTCTTAATGTAAAACAAAACATCCCATATAATGTAATGCCAAGTAAAATGGGAGGTCCTGCATGTTAAAACAATTCAACTGGACTGATCAAAAACTGTACAATAGCATAGGTGACTGATCGTTAGTGAAGATTATGGGACACGCCCCTCAAAAAATCTACAATGTCTCTCCCATGGTAATTAGTAACGAGCCTGATGAGCCGGAGATTGGTATCTTGGTACACTCTCCTACGTGCGGGAGGCGCCATTCCAGCTTGCGCTTGTCCGATCGTTACTTCGTTCATGGCATGTTCCCGTTTTAGGCAGGTCAAAAACTGCCAAAACGAGGGGTGGTCGGCACCGACGCCGATCTGGAACCTTCGGTGCCAGCCCTCCACATGATTGTTCGTGCGAAATTCCCCCTGCAGTGTCGCATTGAACATGTTCCACATTATGGGCGGGAACCTCGCTGCCTGGCGACCATGTCCCGCGGCTCTTTGAGGTCGACCCACATAAGTATCCTCAAAATAATTGAGGACAGGTTGCAGCTCTGCCCTTGCAATGCCTGCCAAGGCTTCAAACGCCTCCACGGTGTCTTCCACTGGCACAAATGCAATCGCTCCTATCATTCTCGCCTGTGTCCGGATCTCCTCATCCTCGTTGTAGAGCACCTGCAGCCCTTCTTGCTTGATCTAAAAATAATAATATAAAACTCATAACAGTACATGTACCAGCCCTTTCACACTTCAGAAATATTGTTTGTTGTCTACCCATTGAGCAAAATGCATAGATATTGGTAACTGTTTATTTAGTGTGGGGGAGGGGGGAGGAACAAACCGCTGTCCCCTATTTTTTCGCCCGAATCCGCCAGGGCTGCCCGAAATTTTCTCCCTTGCCTGACTATACGCAATGAGCGTTTCCTATAGGAGAAAATAACATGCTTGTATCCTACTCAGCTTCCTTGTGGCCTACCAATTTTCAGTATAACTATCGATTATATTCCCCCCTCCCCCTCCCCTGGCGATTAGAGGTCCGTGTTTTTTCCAGGTCAGTTTTAGGCATAATCGAAAAGAGATATAGCCCCTAGCCCCCTACCCTCTAATCATCATATAAAGTTTTTGTTACTGGGCTTGAAAGGATGATTAAAAGAAAAAATATTTATTAGAGTCCTCCCCCCCCCCCCCCTCTCTCCTCAGCATTTATCATGGCTTGCAAGTCCACTTACTCAAATTTCAAACTCTACCTAATATTTGTATCACTATTTTTTTTTTTTTTTAGCCATGAGCCTTGAATGTACTATTTGATCAATAAATGGCGGGTAAAAAAAAGGGATCAACTGTCAATATATAAATATCACCATACCCGTTCATGTATCCTCTGACAGAGATGAAAAAGACATCCTTGAACGTGAGCATTTGGAAATGCCTGGGAAAATGCGTTCTTCGCTGCAAATTCGTAGTCGATCATGATTCTGGTTGGGTAGAACGCCCTTCCCTCCTGTAGTGCTGCTAGTACCCTTGCATATGACGCCTGGTCCTTATTTAGCATGAGGCAATAAACCAAAGGCACCACATGTCCCTCATATGTGGCGTGGATTGTCCACAACTGGAAGAAGATGGTCGGCACTACCTTGAACGTGCCATCAGCGAACCAACTTTCAGACGTTGACAGCAACTAGTAGCAAAACAGAATGAATACATTTGCATCGAATATTATATATTTCAAACAAACAAACTGTTTCACTTGCAAAATTGTATGTATTATTTCCAAGCTATTTTATTTACTTACTTACTGTTTTTTAATTATCATAGCATGATAATTAAAAAACATAATCGAAATAGGAGATCATGTCGTATCAGAACAATTGTTTATTTGATTGTTTTGTGTTTGTTTTGGGTTTTTTCCCCTTTGTCACTATGATTTGATTTTGTAGTTAAATTTCTGTAAATATGTTCATTTATTATAACTTTCATATTTGTTTGTGAATTATATTTTCATTGTTTTAAATTTTATTCGAATTTTATGTAATCACTGCCTCGCTGAAAAAACAGCTTTTGCTGAATGCGGGCACAAGTTGTATTTGTTTTTAACCATGAATAAATAAAAAAATAAAAAAATATATAGGTAGGGCTCTTCGAATTAGCCGAATCGGTATTTTCTGTATAAAGTAGCGGCAGACAACTTTATAATATAATAATATAATAAATTTAATTTATATAGCGCTAAATACAAATGTCTCTAAGCGCTTTACAAATATATTATTACCCCGGTCATTGGATTCAGTGCTTACCCGCACACAATGTGTGCACAATCTCCACTCCCTGGGGAGCATTCCAGCCAGGCGTTACATGACGCTCAAAAACTGTTTGACCAACAATGACGGTCGCATCCTACCGGGTACCCATTTAACACCTGGGTGGAGAGTAGCAAGTGCAGGTTAATATCTTGCCAAAGGATATTAGTGCCGTGTCGGGATTCGAACCCTCGACCTTCGCATCTCCAAGTCAAGCGCCTTAAACCACTCGACCACGACGCTCCCTTTCCCGTTTGTTCCTACACACAAAAAATTATTTCTAGAGAACCTGTAATAATATACTCTCCATATTATATTTTAAGTAGTGCCCCAAGGGTGAAGGCGCTTGGGAGAAGAAAAAAAAATCTTCATATTTGTGTACAAGACAAACGAAGGGTTATTTGTCACTACGGCACAATCCAATGAGAGAATTGCCAATTTGAGATTTGCATGGATGTATATAGTGATCTCATATATCAAACATTCATTATTTTCTTATCATTGGTCCGATTTATTCCAAACTTTTGCCATTCTGTTTCTCTGATGTATCTGCTTTCATTCCTTAAAAGCAATGGAATTGTTACAAGGGTTGGATTTCCTTTGAACCGTAAAGATACTATGTCCCTTTTGCAGCAAACATCTAATGCTGTCGAACTTTGTAGGAATTATGAATATGTCATGTATGTCCTATCTGTGAAATATAAACGTTAGCAGTGTCCTAATATTCAAATTATGCAAGGAAACCCGTTTACTTGCTAGACTTCACCGTCAGACACTATTGAGTGACTGACTGGCCTTTTTTCTTCTTTGGTAATAACATATATAAAATGAGCTGTAAAGGGTACATAAGCATTTGCCTACATCAATAACCCACTTCTTGTAATGGCCAAATTAAACTGATTGAATCACTGCGCAGCTTAAAACGTACGACCATTCGGTACAATGGTCTGAAAATCAGACTGTTACTTACTGGCTCTATAGCTCTTAAGTCGATTCGACAACTAATATTTGTTATTTTCCCACTTAAAGACATTTTCAAACCCCCGTTTTTTAGGAGAGTTCTAAATTAGTATTATCTTTCAAATGCCGTTGGAATTTAACCTTTTCATTTTTTGGCCTGCAAATGGGAATAGTACCTTTAACAGGATTGTATCTGTGCTTTTACAGAAATATTGTGTGGAAACCAGAAGTAGCCAGTCATACTTAATCAAGCAGGTAAATGAGAGGAATGGGTCGGTGAAAGTTTAAATGAATTCCGATTAAAGATAAGATTTTATTTTGTTTAAGTTGCAAACTCCCCTCCCTTCTACTCTGTACTAAAAATCAGAAATCTTTATTTTCCTTAGACAAAATTTTCAGTTATACATGCACCCTAAATATACTATTTCAAATGTGTTTTCCTATCCAATCCTTGTATGGAAGAAATCTATTCCGTCATCAACAACGAAGAGAATTAAGTTGATTACATTTTCTGAGCAAATTGGAGAGGAGTGCGGATACGCCACAATGTTATCGATAATGTAATGTCATTATTATTACTGAAAATATTATTAATGACAATTTTAATATTTTCCTTCTTAAAGCGTCTGGTAGACGCCGTAATAGAAAATGAGGAAAATAAAAGAAAATAATTGATTACATTTTTGTTTCCTACTTCATAACTGGAAGGGGTTGAGCTCTAAATCTTTCAGAGTATTGTTCAAAAATTGTATTGCATATCACAAGCCATCTGCAGAAAAAATCTCATCGAGATTTTGAGGGCTTGCAAATGTGTGATACTATCTTTAAAGACAAAATTTGGAAAATTAGCTACATTAATGCCTTTGCTTAATTGTAGTGAGACTGTCAAATTGATGATTTGTCAGCTCTGAATGCGAACACCATGCACACCCATCGATGACCTCCTGTTACCCTGCTTAACATCCGTTAGTTCATGGATGACTGATCACAAGTTAAAGAACAAAATAATCACAATTCTAACTTCAGGTCAGCGAAAATGAACAAAAAATAACATTAACAACAAAAACAAATCTTAATATCTCTATTTCATTTAATATTGACAGAAATTAAACTTGGTATATCTTGTCAGTTACTTTTATCATATTGGACCTATATGTCATGTTTGACTGTGCACAAATTAAAGACAAAATAACCATGTTTATTCCTAAAATGTATGTCATTGCTTCCTTTATTGTAGAACAATGTTTTTCAGAAGGTCGTTGACCTCCATCCATTACTTCATAATAATATTAATAATGGTGGCTTCTTATATAGCGGACATGTCTGTCACGTTGTGACGCTCCTGGCGCTGCCCCGATTATTACCCTTGCTTTAGCAAGGCGGCCACTGCGGCGCTCTAGCATTTCAACGAATTAATTCCTACCAGGTACTCATTTACATCACCTTTGAAATGTGGCTATTCCTCTCTTGTTTGTGTGTTTGTGTGATTGTATGTTTTTCCCTTAATAAACATGCTGGCTCGGAGTGTAACCTCACTAGTCATAAGGACCGCGATTTATTACGTGGAACTTCCGATACGTGAAGAACCGCTATTCATAAAACGGAAAGAGGGCCACTATTCACAAAAGCGTGAGGACTGTTATTCTTGAGGACCGCTATTCATAAAGTGAGATAAGGGTCGCTATTCATAATTCACATCTAGGGGTCATTACTCTTAAGGACCGCTATTCATAATACGAAATCGGGGTCGCTATTCATAAACAAATTGATGTCCTTTATTGTTTAATATGACATTGCATTTTTTGTATTCTATCTTTAATTTGTGCTCACTCAAGCATAACCTAATAAATACGATGTGGGGGAAGGTAACTGACTAGCTTGCCGTCTTTAGTTTCTTTCAACAACAAGAAGTAAAGAAATACCTTTATGACTTAATAATTTTTTTCCTCTGTTTGTGCTCAGTCAACCATGAAATGATGGAAACATCGTCACTGAAAAGTGGGGTGGCAACGCATATTACGGAAAATGTTTGCGTTTTAGGCCGCTCTCCAAATTTTAAGTAATATTTTAATGTGGTTATTTGTTTAATCTTGTGCTCAGCTATAACCGTTAAGTAATTGATTACGATCTCAGTAGATCATTAATAAGCTTACGGTTCCTCTATGAACTGAAGCAACGACACTAATTTCATGAAGTTTAAACTGTGATTCTTATTTTATCCCCTTTACCTTGTGCTTATGGTAGGCAATGCCAGCCCACCCCCTCCCCTCCTCTGAAAATACCACTGCAAGGAGGTCCTCTCCGAGTGTGATGTTTGCATATAGTGCGGAAAATCATCAATTTGGCTGTCCTTAGCTACAGCAATGACATTGATCTTGCGAATCATTTATTTTTCGGTCTTTAAAGGGACTTGGTAACATTGTTTATATGAGAGAAAATGGTGCTAAGGCAGTGACTTCATTGCTAGATGTACAATTAAAGATAATCTGAAAGTTTGAGTGAAAACGGACCATTATTAATGATAACCATTGGGAAAAACTGATCTCACTGATCGATTCCTTAATTCTCCCAACTATATTATCACAATTTAATTACATTTCAGGTGAAAGTACATCGTCTTGTGACGATTGCAACAAACTGGCTCTTCATAACATTCCAGACATTTTAGTGTTGAAAGATTTTAAAAAGCCTGTCTTATGTCTTATTTTCATGGAAAAACGGTTTGGAAAATTCAAAAATGGTTGGGAGAATTTACTGTTAATCACTGTTAAAGGGTGTTACTCAGTGTCCGCTTCAAAGAAAACCGTGCATTTATTTGTGGTTTAAGAATTTTCTCAGGATTTTTTGCCTGTAAGTACAGTAAAAGGAATATAATAAGTAAGATTTCATACAAAAATTACACCGTTTTTTAATCAACCTTCAACAATGTTACCGAATCACTTTTTGAGTTCTTAATACGGCCGGCCGGGGGGGGGGGGGGGGTGATTATGCCCCCTTAAGATCGCTGCCGTGAAACGGCCGATCTCCGCGAAAATTTGCACGCATGTCAAGTGAAGTGTATTATACAATACTATGATAATTTCAATTTTTTGAAAAATTCACTTATTTGCATATTTATGGTAATTTATGCAAATAAGGTCATAAATCACATTTTACCCATAAATCATATATTATTCATATTTAAGCATCCGATTTTCAAAAACATTCTTTTAAAGATGCGCAAGACTCGAAAGAAAAAGGTCAGCGAGCGTCGGGGCGCCATCCATATGCGTTCCCGAACAATTAGAAAATCGTGGAGGGGGGGGGGCATAATGCCCAGGGGCGGATCCAGGAATTTCTTCCCGGGTGCGTATATGGGGGGCACACGGGGGGGGGGGTAAGAGAACATATAAATATTTTTGTTTTAGTCCCCCAAAACGCAACGACTCAGCCAGCCGCTGAATAAACGGGGGGAGGGGGGGGGGGGGGTAAGCGGAGATAACTTTTTTTTGGGTCCCATAAAAATTGCTGAATAAGCGGGGGGGGGGGGGGGTGATAAGCGGACCCCACTTTTTTTTTGGTCCCATAAAAATCGCAGAAAAAGCGGGGGGGGGGGGTTTGGTAAGCGGACACTTTTTTTTTTGGTCACGAAAATTGTAAATTTGACATTTTGTTTCGTTGGAGTCAACTTTTTAGGTCAGGCATTTGTATATATATATATATATATATATTTTTTTTTTAATTTATATTTTTTTTATTACAAACAATTATTGAATTTTGGGGCCCGTGGGGCACGTCCCTGTTTTTCAGTACATTTTGGCGAATTTAGGGCTGATTTTAACATATTTTTGAGCGGCCGGGGGGGGGGACGTGCCCCCTCTGCCCCCCCCCCCCCCCGGCCTTATTAGGGTTAAGGTGTGTTGAGTCAATTATGACTCAATGGCGACCTCTGATTTTTATGGAAACGTTACGTAAGAAAAACGGACACAGTTGTGTCTCGGTGAATTCGTTTAAAAGTTTGCAGTTAAGAATTTATAAGGAGCTGTTTAGGGGAACAACCCTTTTGAGCCGACTGTCCATTAATTATATTGACCAAAGAGATCACTGGTCCTAGGAAGCCGTGCGTCTAAAGTTTTAACTTAAATTTATGCTATGCTAGTGTCCATTTAAAAAAATTTGAAATTATTATATGAATTGTTAGGCTCTGTTCAACCTTAATCATTTTCATATTGGTAATATATTAGACAATGGGCTGTGGCGTAGAACCAATAGGCTCTGGGACTTATGTATTGTAATAAACGGTTGGTACAAGTCATTCACTCCACAATATGTTGGTACGTTTGATGCTTACCTTAATTTTTGCTCTGCATTGTCGTGTGTTCCTTCGTAGCTCACATTCAAAGCCCTCGTACCCATCTGCCAAATCTTTTTGCTTGACGTACATGTATCCTCCCAGGAGGAGCTTTCGCCCACCCCTCTCGCTCTGTATCCATTCCATCTTTGTGAAGTTTGACTTAATATGCCACGAGTATTGAATCAAATTCAATTGCCAGAAGACGCATGTATCAAATCGAATTCAATTGCCAGAAGACGCATGTATCAAATCGAATTCAATTGCCAGAAGACGCATGTATCAAATCAAAGTACGGAATTTACATTTCTTAGAAATTTAACAATACATTGCGCGCAGATGAGTACGCGTTACAGCTAGTCTCCCCCAAAATGGCCCAACAAAGAAATTAGGATGTAAGATTTCATTATTTATGCATCCTCTGTAACTTTTCTAATCAGCTGATAGTATATTTGTCTTTGTATGCATAATAGGCCCTCATCCACGATCTATTCCAAACTAAAGGTTCTCTTCATGTTTATTTCTGTTGTCATGGTGAACTCAAATATGTTTTCTTGTACTGTAATTTATTTTGAAATAAAAATTGCCTTCAAGTTAAATATATGGTATGTACGGTGCCATATTAAAAGAAAATAAGTAGGCCCCTATGTCTTGTCCTTTTTTTTCTTGCTCGTTCACTAAATCAAGAAACAAATGTGCCCATACGTGTGTACATAGCCCTTGACGAATGCCAGAGTGATGCAAAATAAATAGTTTGTGAAGAATTTAAGATTGGGCGAAACTTTTCATTTCTTAAGAGGGCACTGGCCCGTATTCTGAAGTCAGGTTTAACTTTAAACCTAGGTTTAAGTCTAGTCTAAGCCTCGCCTAACTCTCAGATTTAAACCTAGGTTTAATTTTGCGTTTCTGAAGTCGGGTTTAACTTAAACCTAGGTTTAAGCCTGGTCTAACTCTGTGGAAATTGTACACATATTTAAACCTGGGGTACACCTAGTTTAAGTCTGGCTTAAGTCAGGTCTAACTATTTGTTGGATATTCAGAGGAGAAGAAGACAACATTAAAAGACATTACGACGAATTATTGCAAATAATGAGACCGGAGAGAGCTCTTGTGGAAAGAAAAAAACCTTTCACAATCATGGCGACGATGATTTGTTTGTCATCGCTGTCTTTTTTTAAATACCAAACAAACAGCGATTTGCATTGACTCCAACATTGGAGAGACACACACATCGCTTGCGGATAAAAGTGGGCCTTGCGATTTTATGCCTTCGGCAAGTTTGAACATTAATTTGGATACTTCATTTGCTTATTGAATCTTTATGCCTAATATTTTCTAAGTCTTAAGATTTTATATTTTATATAAGATTGTGTGATTTGTATAGTACGACAATCCTTGAAACTAAAAATTTGCCAAAGTAAATCAACACGTATCACTTTGTTGCAGAGGAAAACAAATATAGTAGCCCCATACCTTTAGTTTGACGTTATGCTCACGTAGTTTTGAAACTGTGAGTGCAATACACATTTTCAAATTGCGTCCCAACGATGTAAACAAGTGCGAGATAAAATAAAACTGTAGGCCTAAGGTTGGATTAGAATAATCTATATTTATAAGACAATCATGGATTAGTATAATTAAGAGCCGACGAGTGAATTAAGCCGGAACTCTAGACCTAGATCTAGTAGAGTTTTGGGTAGAATCTGCCCTAGATCTAGTCTAGACTCTAGACCTAGACCGATTAGGCGCGCCTAGTCTATTTATATTATGATGTCAAAACATCGAGAACATCCTTAAGATGCCCCGGCCGCGTCTTATTTTTTCGTACCACGGCGAGCCCGAATTCTCTTGAATATTCATGTATGATCGAGGCATGCGCAGCATCGAATATCGTGTGTAACAAGTACGTTGGATTAATGGCAGGCCTATAATATGACATAGAAAAGCAATGTCATGGTCATTTAGATAATACAGTCATAAATGCTGTGTTTAATTACTAGTAAATGCCAAAATGTCAGTACCGGTAGACAAGATATATAGCATATATTTCAAGTAAGAGTCTTGATAGGCAATTTGTGAGTAGCCTAGGCCTACTTTTCTGAGATTAATGGGAGTCTAGTTCTTTTCATGAATTGGTAAATAATCAGTTCTAGGTTTGCTTTTTAAATATTACAAGCAGAGGTTGCATTATGGTATTGAATATGTGATACAGTATTATAAACTGTATAAAATAGATAACAAGAATAGGCCTACATACAGACATTTATCAAAAATAAAATACTTGTGTATTGCACTTAAATTATTTCTATGATCTATGCTCACTTAACTGCATAAGGAAGAAAAGGAAGAAAGAAAAATGGGATTAGAAAGAAGAATAACAAAGTTAAAAAGTAAAATATATATAAATAATAAATGAATGGAAGAAATAAAGAATACGGAATAGATACCAAGGAAGAAAGAAATAAATTGCAAGAAAATTGAAATGAAAAGAAGACAAAAGAAAAAGGGAAAGGAGCAAGATAATATTGATACCATATCTTCAATCTTGTTTTCTTTTATCTTGCCTCTTGTTTTTGTTTAGGCCTAGCTACCATTTTTTCCTTTCCTTTCTCTTTTTCTCTTAAAAGTTCTCTTTGGTTTCTTTCTAAAATAATGAGGGAGGGGGGGGGGGGGTGGGGGACTCGATGATAATTCATCATTTGAAGGTTTACAATGTGAAGTCCACGAGTTATATGCACCCACTGAAGAAAATCCATGTACAGGGTTGCTGCAGGAACCCCAGCACCCACAGATCCCACGCATGATGAGACAAACTCGAGAGAAAACTACACATTCTTTCACATACATTGAAGAAAAAAAAGAAGAAAAAAAAATCCAAGATCGGTTGAACTCTTTTTGACCCCTCCCCAGGACGTCGATCAATTACATGTATGTGCCCCCCAAAAAAACTCTGATAATTACCCACTATTCAAATCTGACAGGTGCCCCTTTTTCTTCGACAAATGCCCCTTTAACTTCATAATAAGTGCCACTGTTCCATTTTCATAAGTGCCCCTTGTGATATCTGATAAAAGCCCTTTCATTTTTTTTTTACTTTGACACGCGTCCCCTTAAACTTTCTAACAAGTGCCCTTTTACCTTTTGATATGTGCCCCTTTCCCTGTTTAATAGGAGCCCCAACCCCAACCCTTTCTCATAAATGCCCCTTTGACACATGCCCCCTTTTCCTTTTTTTATAATTCCCCTTTTCTCTCTTTCTCTGTCTTTCGAAAACTATCTTCTGCAAGGTTTGTTCTCTTGACTGAGCAACCTGTTGCAATTCCTTTCTGTCTCACTTTCAGTCGTACTTGTTGCCACTCATTTGCATTCACTCGTTATCAACTACCATCAACCATTCCATATTCACTCCATTACTGTCCACATTTCAATTTCATTCTCTTCACTCTCCCTTTTTGCAGCCTTTCCAGGAGCTTTGCTAGAAGTAGAACATTTTTAATGTAGAGGCCAGAGAAACCGGAAAGTATGTTAATCATTTTATTCAAATATCTAACTTGAAAAAAAGGAAAGTGAAACATTGTTTAATTACAATATATTGACATAATTTTGTTAAAGAAAAAATTTGAATTTAACACTGGAAATTTGTAATTGGTTTGCCAGCCCCCCCCCCCCCCAAAAAAAAAAAAACACACACTCAAAACACAACAGTGGTACCAGGGTTTTTGTTAGGAGGCCCATGTACTGTATAATTTTTATTATTAAGAATAGTTTTCTCTTTTTTATTAATTTGACATTGGCATACCGTAAATTTCACCAGGAACCCCCCCCCCCCCTCCCGACACTGCCATTACTTCTACCAACAGTAATGCTAAAATTCAAAATTTCACTTTCTAAATCCTTCTAATATAAACATATAATCATATTTGTACAGAGGATAAGATAAGAGGATAGCAAGCCCCCCCCCCCCCACTCCCTGTTTTCTTTAGTTGGGAAGCATCGAAACATGATTCTATGAAAGCTACCAGTTTGGATACGAAAGGCAATGAGGATTAGCAGTTTCCATATTTAATGCATTTAGAGTGTTGTCTTTCAAACCTTCTTACATACAATACTTGAAGTAGCAATAATTTCATAATCTACAAAACTTCCCATACAGAAGTCCATAGAGGTAAATGAATTTTAACATGTACAATTATAATCAAAATATCATTGATTAATTCAATCTTTGATATAGACTGATAGACCTTTATCAATCAAATTTGAAGGAGAATCTTTCTGCCCAGTCCTCAGTTTCATCCTATAAGATGGTAGTTAACATTGTTAGAATTTTAATGTTTATTCGTTGAGGATTAGTTATCTTTAATTATTTGAAAGTCGACAAGATGATAAACTTCATTAGCTTTATTGAATGTAGTATTCTACAAACATATAATACAAATAACAAATAAATATCATGTAAATATTCCAGTTTAAACCCATCTCTATTGTCCTCTTTCATTATATGAGGGTGGCATCTTTAAGACGTAGTCTCGTGTAGATATCTTCTGCATCCATCACTAAAGTTGTAGCCTAGTTTTCAGAAAAAAATATAACCCAAGTCTGTTGAATGGAAAAATGAAATAAGATATAAAAAATCAACAATGACTAATAACATACACCCTGATACCTGCTCAGAAAAAGGAAGGACTGAAATTCATTTGGGGTTCTAGTGGGCAAACCTAAACTATTTTTTGTACAAGACTAGTTTAAATACTGACCGCATCTTAAATTATTACTGATGATCCCATTAAGACGATAGGCCTGCTGGAGCTCGGATCAGACAAGGTATGAAATAAGTAATACAATGTAATACAACTCGTGCTCATACCGGTAATTGAATAATACTCGGTTAAGTATGGGACATAAAATGACCAAACAACTTTGACCAGAGAATGTACTGGAAATAATGCTACTGAAACATACGTAATGTAGACTTATATTTCATCTATATTGACATTTAATTTTTAATCTATTGTGATATTAAGTCAATTATTCTTTTACAAGTCAACTGACAATGAAAAATATCTGTGTCAGATCTATAATTTTCTCCATGACATTTGTTCCACAAAAATTTATTGGGGGTACCTTCATGTATATTAGCACACTTGCTCGTATGAAGTGTAGTAGGCCCGCATCTCTAGATATGATCCCGTCAACATCTGTTCTTTGTTCCTCTCCTGAGTTTGCAAACCAGAATGCCTTCATCATCCACTGTAGAGAGGCATCATCCTACATGAGAGAAAACAAAGTAGGTACATGTACTTCAATTAAAAACTGATACTGATGGATACATATCAACCATAATACATCCTATAAACAGACTTTTATCAATCTTATTTTGTGTTCTTCTTCATCTTCATTGCTCAAGAAGTGAAAGTACCCCTTACAAAAAAAAAAATGAGGGGTCCTGTGTATACCCTACATGTAGTGCTTACAATGTGCATTTGATATGGCTCTTCTAAACACAGGACCTCCTGTAAATAAGGACAAATTTTCCTTTGTAAACATAGAAAGAAAAGACATCAATATTTGTATACTAGGTGCAGAACTAGAATAAAATATACCCTCCACTATATATGCTTGCAATGTCAACTTAGTTCCATTTCCTTTTGAGTGAATTAATAGGTGGTCGTTTAATATGTGTGTGCTAAATAACCTGATAACTGTACCTGCATGGGACTTTCTGCTTCATCTTGCAGTTTCAATCTTTTGGAACAAAAAGAAGAAGAAAATCAATACGAAAATCAAGGCATCCCTTTCTCCTTAACAAAATAAAATAGATCTAGCATAATTCAAATTAATAGATATTTTTGTGTCATGGTTGGCCTTAATTTTAATATGGTGTGGAAATCAACATTCCTATTTAATGAACCACAGTACAAAGTAAAACTAAATGGAAGATTTAACTTGTGCATCAAACAGTGGTTTCTATGGCCTATGAACACGAAGCAGTACTAAGTAGAATTAGTTTATTATAACAAGAAGAGGTGGACTACATACCATATAAGCAGAGGCGGCGCTCCGAGAGGGGGGGGGGCAGAGTGCCCTCCCATTTGGTCAAGTACCCTAAAAGTGCCCCTTTTTGCATAGGAAAAGTGCCCCTTTTTACATAGGAAAGTGCCCCTTTTACTCTGACAAGTGCCCCTATTAAGTTTTTAAAGTGCCCCTTCCCCTTTTAATAACTACCCCTTTTAACTTGGATAAGCGCACCTTATATCTTCACATGTGCTCCCTTTCATTTTTAATAAGTGCCCCTTTTTCTTATAAGTGCCCCCATTTAAAAATAGGCCCTTTCCCTTCTCATAAATGCCCCTTTTCATCTATGAAAATAGTTCCTTTTCATTCTCTTAAGTGCCCCTTTTCATCTCTTGTAAATGACCCTATTCACTTCTGAGAGATACTTGTTTTACTTTGACAAGCACCCCTTTCCCTCCTAGTCAGTACTCTTTTCATCTCTTATAAATGCCCCTTTTATTTTGACACGTCCTCCTTTTCCTTCCTATATAATGCCTTTTTTCCTTATAGGCACCCTTACCCCTTATCATAATTACCGGTATTACTTTTCGTCTTTGATAAGTGCCCCATTTATTTAAACATGTGCCACTTTTTCTTTTTAATAAGAGCCACTTCCCCTTCTCATTACCCTTTTAACAATGATATGTACCCTATTTCCTTTCTTATAAAGAACCTATCCCTTTTTCATAAATGCCCCTTTTCACTGCTTATAAATGCCCCCTATCAAAATCTGATGGGTGCCTCTTTTCCGTCGACAAATGCCCATGTTCTTATCATCCCTGGTGCATGCCTTTTTGTTTAGGTGTAAGAAGTGCCCATTTTCACCTCTGATAATTAGCCTTTGTACTTTGACACATGCTTCTTTTCTTTTCTGATCAGTGTCTTAACCCTTTCGATAACTGTCCCCTTTTCCTCTCATCATTAAACGTGTCCCTAATTTCAAGCGACTAAAAGCAATTTCCCACAAAGCTCGCTCGCTACGCTTGCCCATAGTTATAGATGTTATAATTATGTAACTTATCACAGATCTATTCAGTCTTCCATTATGAGATTGTGCTTATATAACCCCATCAGGATTGGGTTTTCCTCTTTACAAGATGTAATTTTTCGCACTGCAAGCCAAAAACTGCAAAGTATGATACTTAAGCAATATCTTAAATGCTGTATTAAGAGAAACAAATATTGAAATCATCCCTGATAATGTAATCACAAAATAGGGGTATATACCAATGTCAAAAAAATGGTATATTTTCCCTCTGAAGGTGCCCTTTTTTCAAGAAAGTGCCCTTTTTGTTGGTGCCCCCCCCCCCCACTTTGGAAGTTGCTCCGCCCAAAGTCTCCGCCGCCTCTGCGTATAAGTAAACATAATTGTCGACTACCCTAGGGGTCTTCTCTTATACAACGTCCAACAAAAAATAGATTTATCAAATGAACTGCACACTTTGGAGAAGAAAAAATCTTTAATATAGGTCTAGTAGATCTAGAAAAGTTATGACAACTTGACAAGCACACTGGACACACACAACATCTGAACATTAAATAAATGAATCCTAGGTCTAGTTTGTTTGTTTTTGAATATTTTTATTAATATGTTCCAGGTTTACGTCTGAATGAAATATGGTTTGGAGCCGTTTGATTATCCATGGTCACAAACAATTTTGGTCTAAAAGTTGACACGCACCAATGATGCAACTGAGCGAACGGATAGCACTTAGTCTTAGTAATACTAGTAGTATAGCCAACAGAGTCGACATCTACTAAAGATATAAACATAGCTCTTGGATTATTAAAGAAATCATACTTCATAGATTATTTTAAGGTGTAACGTTAAACCTAGATTTAAATTCAATGGATGATTGGTGAATTAGATTCACGATGACGATCAAATTTGGAATAAAACCTGATCAGAAAGTTTTATCTTGATGCAGATGAGCACCGAAATTCCCCAACGTGGGCCTGCCGGAACCCCGGGGCTCTAAAGGGTGACATGAAGGCAAACCGCAGTCAAACTACTTCACGACGATGAAAATCAAAGTGCAATTTCAAGAGAAATATTTTCCTAGCCTTTTCCGCACAAATCTGTTGAGAACAGTCTCAAAATGTAAAGAAATTACAGTAGATCACGAATTACAGCTTTTTCAAATTAATGACTAAATTCTCTTAATCTACTGATATTTCAATCAATTACTCACCAATATGCATTCTCCGTGAACTAAATCTTCTCACTTTGTGCGAGTATAGCGCGCGTCGTGCATTCCCACCTCGATATGAATATTTAAGAGAATCGAGACTTTCCCCGACCCTGCCTAATGAATATTCATGATAAAACAGGAATCCGGCCTCGCCGTGGTACGAAAAAATAAGACGCGCCCCGGCCCGAACGATGCACTAGAGGTCTAGATCTAGATCTAACTTAGACCTAGGCCTTAATAAGATTAAAATGACTGAAAGAGAAATGATCACAAATACCTTCTTGATGCAGAATAACTAGTCCAAAGTCAACATTGAAGCTCATATAATATGGTCGAATTTTAAGCGTTTTTTGTTAGGACAATGCAATATTTCTAAACCGTGTGTACTTGTACAAATGAATGCGCGCACGATCGATGATATGCGCGCACGGTGCACCGAGAAGGGGATCATGATACCCGACATGTCGGTTCGAAAAAGGATTCCATTGTCCTAAAAAAAAACTAAAAATCAAACAAATGAGCTTCAGCAATGTTGACTTTGGACTAGTTATTTTGCATCAAGAAGGTATTTTTGATCATTTTTAGTTTCTCTTTTAGTCATCTAAATCTTATTTAGAGCATTTTTATGTTGTTCTGGAAGTTTTGACTAATCTGCATGGGCATGCAGAAATTGTAGAATCCCGATTTTTGTATTATTTATTATTCGTAAAGATCAATTCCACCTCGATTCAGACTTTTTCAGCAGTTTAACAATAAATCAAAGGGTAAAACAAAACAAAAAATCACGTCATAACGTTCAATGGTTGCTTCGAAAGAGATTTGTTTGTGTCGAATATTTTGAATTGAAATTATTAAATTTGCAGCACGAAATCCAGCTATAACAAAGCCTATAAAGGCCATATCAGCTACCCTTGAAGATGGATGAGCTGTACTGAGCATGTGCAGTAGAAGCAGACTACATCTCCATGGTAGTTAAACCTTGGCTTAACTTTAAACCTGGGTTTTAGACTTAAACCTGGGTTTAACTAAACCTGGCTTTCAGAAACTGAAATGATACTTAGACCTGAAGTCTGGCTTAGTTAAACCCGGGTTTAAAGTTAAACCTGGGTTTAACTAAACCTGACTTCAGAATACGGGCCACTGTGTCTAACAAAAATTTGAAATAACGCTGCTCAAGAGAAATCCTTCGTAGAAAACAGCAACCACAGTGGTGTTGCATACATTATAGTTAAAGAAAAATGTGTAGTAATGAGATCGAGGAACATCACGCGCAAGTATTTGAACGAATGTGGGTTCATGCACGGGATTTTATGGGCTCGTAGCCTTCACAACATCTCTCAATGTGTCAAATCGTCTTTTGCTATTGAATCCTGATTGTCTTCGGGGGGGGGGGGGTAGTTGTCCTCAGGCGTAGTTATCCATGGGGGCGGGTAATTGTCCTCGGGGGGTAATTCCTCAGGGGGTAGTTTTCCGGGGGGTAATTGTCCTCGGGGGTTGTTTTCCGGGGGGTAATTGTCCTTGGGGGGTAATTGTCCTCGGGGGGTAATTGTCCTCGGGGGTAGTTGTCCTCGGGGGGTAGTTTTCCGGGGGGTAATTGTCCTTGGGGGTAATTGTCCTCGGGGGGTAATTGTCCTCGGGGGGTAATTGTCCTCGGGGGTAGTTGTCCTCGGGGGGTAGTTTTCCGGGGGGTAAATTTCCGGGGGGTAATTGTCCTTGGGGGGTAATTGTCCTCGGGGGGTAATTCTCCGGGGGGTAAATTTCCGGGGGGTAATTGTCCTTAGGGGGTTATTGTCCTCGGGGGGTAATTCTCCGGGGGGTAATTTTCCGGGGGTAATTGTCCTTGGGGGGTAGTTTTCCGGGGGTAATTTTCCGGGGGGTGATTGCCCAGGGGGTAATTGTCCTAGAACCTTGCCAAGACATTCTAGAAATACATTTAAAGGCATTGTTTAACAATGCCAACTCTGAGATACATGGCCCTGCGTGTTATCATCGTCTGTGCTATGGTTTAATGTTGAAGCGCTAAAAACGCTTTAAAATGATCATGAAGTGCCTCAAATAGTAAACATCTTTGAGTGGACGGTTTGACCATACCCATTTCCTCCCCAATAGACTGTATTGTTATAAAAAAAAAAGTTGGGAAAACGGTTTTTGAAATTTCGAATTCCAATCATAAATATCTTGACAATCAGACTGGCAATCGGCTTCTCAACGTCATGGGATTCCTTACTGACATAAAGGTATATAATTATGATTGTTGCATGAGCTAAATCCAGGATTTCGTTTAGAATTTGAGACAAAGATACTCAATCCCTTTAAGGCTAATTTGTTTAATATTTCATAGTCGTATCCGCACATTTCAAACGTTCTCCATGGCTATATGGAAATTGCCGTATTGGTTGTTTTAGGGAGGCTTTTGCAATAGTGTATTTTGTGTCCTGCTCTTAACAACCGGTTTTTAAGGGGTCATGAACCTCAAATGTTTTTCCATGCT